AAATGCTTAGAAATATCAGAAGACCGGTTGCTTGGTGTTTGATTTCTTGTTTAAATTTCAGACAATACACGTATAAACTCCCTTATAAAAATGGCACCAGCAGTTGTTCTGATTGTCCCACTTCCTGTAAAGACAATTTTATGGATAGATACTTCTAGAATTGTCTTATTTATCTACAACCTATGCTTCTAATAAGCCTTTGAAAAATGATTAAGTTATCTACTGGTCATCATTTTACATGGTTATATAGTGTATTACTCGAGACGTCTGTCAATAACTGCTTATATGTATGAAAGGCTTTGACAATTCGTTATCAAATTTGGTACAACCTTTTTTTAAAACATACATCGTTGTATAGGTTTTGTACAATTTATTTCATATATTCAAAACACACCATGTTACTAACTCTTGCTCACAATTTGTACATGTATTTTCCACGAGGAGCTATCAATATAAATCCAATGTTTATGAGATCTATATGTACAATATCTATTGTATATAAATTATAGATTGTGGAGGTAAATTGTGCTTCAATAGTGGTACTTTAGATATCAATACGTGTACTTGTTCATGTCCAAGTCTTTACTCTGGTGACCAATGTCAAACTCGTAAGTGATATTTTTATCTGAAATAATGACTTTAATCAGCCTAGGAAAGATCTTATTATAGTTAAATGAATTATTATAAAGTTAAATATTATAAGTATTTATAAATATTAAATCATTTCAGCAGAGGTCAAATCAAATTTTTTCCTAAAGTATAAAATGATGTTATTTACACCCCTACTCTACGTATATATATACGTATATAAAAATCCATTCGGTAAGACAATGCTGTGAATCAAAAATCTCGTCCGAAGAATGGAAAAATCGGGAGTAAAGGTAATATAGTAGTGGAGACCTGCAAAGATCAATTCATTTTGTATTTATCAAGGAGTTTTCCATCACGACCTTAAAATTTCCTACATATTTTTATAATCGAAAATATATTATGTTATATTTTTTTATTTTCTAGATCTATGTGAATTATATTTTCCATATTTTAGATTTTATTTTTCTGTTGTTATTTCATATTTATATGCGTGTTAATTGTTCCATTGCCTCGAAACAAATATATTTATTATTCCTATGAAACAGATAGGATCGATTTGTTTGAGATATTCTGCTTCCTCTAAGGTAAAGGTAGTCATTGGGTCTATTATCAATACCAGATGCTTTATAATATTTTTTTACTGGGTGATATTATTCTTTAAAGATCATAATTATATGCCGCTGGACAATTACACTTGGTCATTGTTCCCCCCTTGTTACCCACTATGAACTGCAACGTAAGGTGTAAGCCCTTTCAAGTTTCACTGCATTTTATTTTTATATGTATTTCAGTACAATGTACAAACTCAGAAAAGTCTTGGTGTAGAACCCAGTTATACTAAAGCTAACTGTACCACATACAGTAACTTTCCCATTGACTGTAATATGATGTGTGGTGTTTGCCCCTATCGTAAGTATTTATTATTTAAGGCACTTAATGCCAATAGTTTCTAAATGTTAATCAATGTTTATTTGAGAGAAATCGGAATTACGCATATTATAAGCTACATTATCGTATCTTTAGTCGTTGTATATCTTATATACTGTATAGTTGTTTTCTTTTACAGCATGTGATGGAAAACAATGTGAAAATGGTGGAACTTGGATCAAAACACATGTCAATGTTCTTGTAACAAACCTTACACTGGTTCAACCTGTACCGACAGTAAGTCTATTTGTGTTTTTTTTCTGATACAAAATCGGAATAGCCGTGATCACCTCGACAAAATAGTGGCATTTTGTTGTATGATCATCATTGATATTGCTATGCTATGGGGATGTTTTAATGTTGTGACAATATGACAGACTCTTTAAATTTCGCTATCCTACAATTTCTTATGTTATCAAGAAACGGGTTTTACATTACATTATTGGGACGGAATTTTAATACAATACTATTGAGATTACATTCGGCAATTCTCGGCAGTTCCGGAAGCTGAATCTGACTCGGCAATGAATGGTGAATTCCGTTGTGTTTTCTTGGGCGAAACTCTTTACTTGCAATTTGTAACACACGGGCGAAATGTTCAGATCTAAAAAATTATCGACTAATAGCAACTGCGATAAACTGAACTGTTCAAGATTCTGAACTCTCAGATGGACACAATTAAAAATATGTTAGTAGAGAAAGTAGAATGCATCAGACGGCAGTTGAGAATTTTAAGCTATCCGTTTTTACACAGGTCACTGGTCGACTAATCAGATTCCACATAGTGCAAACTGAAAATGCAGTTGTTATAAGAGTCTATGTGGTAAGGTCGACCTGAGCCTCATCTTCACAATGTCAATCTTTATCGAACTTCTTACTTCTACAACACTACAATAAAATGCTTATAAATACGAAAGGTGTCCCAGAAGATTCCGATCTCCATAAGTATTGTCTTATTTTCAGAGGACTGTAGTGGAGGTCAAAAATCGTGGTGTACTAGTTTTACTGCGGCAGATTGTAAAAAATACGGTAACTTCCCAACTGATTGTAATATCCTGTGTGGTGTATGTCCTTAAGGTATTTATTTATCTATTTATAAAAATTGTATTTATTTATTTATTTATTTATTTATTTATTATTTTATTTTATTTTATTATTATTTTTTTTTTTTTTTATTTATTTATTTATTTTTATTTTTTTTTTTTATTTATTTATTTTGGGACTACATAATAAGTAGGACGTAGACTGTATTTCTTTTATCTCTGATTTGAATGATTCGTTTATATATTTTCAGATGCTGATATCTCGAAGGGAATTGAAATAAAATGTTGGTGAACGTTCTATTGGAAAAATATGAATAAACTTATCAAAAAAAACATTTCCTTGTTTTATACTCGTGAAAAGGTGTTATGAACCAGCTTAACGTTAAAAGAATTATTTACAAATTATATCTCCATTCGATTTACATATATATCAATTTCGTTGTCAATGTAAGATCATTTACCTTTTATAGAGAGGTGTAGAGAAGAAACTCGGCGAATAATCCCTCTTTAATCTTTTACACAAGTTAAATAGGGATATGATAAACTTTCGTTAGAAACAAAAGTTGTACTTTGCGTGCAAATTGGCAAAGTTATGACCATTTTAGTTCAGGTCTAAATTTGCAATGAAGGTACACATCCAACGGAAGTTGCTACGTTCCAAATTTAATGTTCTTATTTTAAAAACCTGCCTGTTGCAGCATTTTTGGTTTCAGATTTTTCCCCAAACCAAAATATATGCGATGTTCCACTTGAAAATTCGGGTGGAACATGAATGTCGATTTTCTCGAAAGTTTGAAAAATTTCGATTTTATGTTTTTGGCTGAAAAAGATAGGGGACATGATAATCTTTCGCCAGAAAGAAAGATTATACCTCTAGCGTCGAAATTGGTGAAGTTATGGCAATTTTTTAGTTCAGTGGTGGGGTCGGCAATCTCCCTATACCTTCTAGTTGCACTGTTTGGGGAGAAGACCAAAACTTTGACATGCTGCCATTCGAAGGCTATATGGGATAGAAAGTTGAAACTTGCACTGAAGGTACACATCCATCGAAAGGTGCTTTGTTCCAAATTTCATGTTCTCACCCATGAAAACACTGCCTGTTACAGCACTTTTGGTTTTCGATATTTTTCCCAAACCAAAATATATGCGATTTTCGACTTGAAAATTCGGGTGGAACTTGAAAGTCGATTTTCTCAAAAGTGTGAAAAAATTCCTAATTTCTAGTTTTGGAATGAAAAAGATAGAGGACACGATAAACTTTCCTTAGAAACAAAAATGATACCTCTAGTGTTGAAATTATGCCCAGGGGATCAATTTTCCTTGGACTACACCAACGACTGAATAGTTCAAATTTGTATGAATAATCCTTTTGTCTCCCCTTACGCCAGGATGCTGCAAGAAGCTGTCTAGTTTGTCCAGAAAATCCCTTTGCTTGGAAATGTCTGTTGATAGAAGCCATGCAGTTAGTTTTAAACAATTTGGGTCTGGATGGTATATCTCAGTGTTCGGTTGTCGGAGAAGGTCTGGGAGATCCGGAAGTCGAATGAGTGGAGCAATCAGCAATTGAAGTAGATCGGTAACCAAGTCCTTCGTGGCCAATAAGGAGCTACTAGGAGTATTTCACAATGAAATTTCCTCATGTAACTGAGAAGTCGGAATAAGACATATTGGAGGATAAACATAAGCGTACATGCTCAACCATGAAATTGTCAGCGCGTCCAGTGCCAATGCTTGTGGGTGGGGACTCCAGGAACAGAAAATCTTGGTTTGGCGATTTTCTATTGATGCAAAAAGGTCTATCAAGGGCACCCCAATGCAGAAATAGCTTGTGAACTACTGAGCTGTTGAGCATCCATTCGGTCGGTCGGATCCGTCTGCGACTCAACTGGTCTGCTAGAACATTCAATTTCTCAGCGATATGGGCGGCTCTCAAAAGTATATTGTTCTCTAGAGCCATCTGCCAAAGATCCCATGTCTTGTAACATAGTTTCGGGGATTTCGTTCCTCCCTGCTTGTTGATCTATTGGACGACCGTGGTGTTGTTGTAACGTATTAATATGCCCGTAAGGCGAGGTATAAACTTGGATACTACGATATGCACAGTTTCCAACTCCAGAGATTTATGTGATAACGTCTTTGCTCCCTTGACCAGGTCCCTTGTATAAGAAGCTGATCCAAGTAACCTTCGTACCCTTCCATCGACGCATCCGTCGTTATGTCACTGTGGATAGACGAGGTAGAAGGGATCTTCCCTGTAAAATGTTCGCTGGCTCTAACCACCATGAAAGATATGATTGTAGATGTTGAGTAATTGGAATAACCTTTTCTACTGCATGCAGAGATGGCTTCCAGAAACAGAGTAGATGTCGTTGTATAGGCCTCATGTGTCAGCGAGCATTTGGGATCAGTTCTATACAGCTGGCCGTCAAACCTAGCAGGCGAAGATAGTCTAATGCCTGACTGCGCTTGTTCTGGATATGATTTACTGATTCTACTAATTTTTTCATCCTGTTTATCGTAGGGCACACAATACCCTGATGGGTCTTGAATAAGCTTCCCAGATAAACTACTTCTTGGCTGGGACAAAGAGACGACTTCTTTCGGTTCACAAGAAGACCCAGAGATTCCAAGAGATCTAGGACGAAGTATCGATGCTGTCTCAGTGTGTCTTTGTTTCGATGCAATAGCAACCAATCGTCGAGGTATACTGCTACCCTTAAACTGTGCTTTCTCAGGTATGCAGAGACGACGGACATGACTTTGGTGACTTTCCACTGATAACACCTTCCTTGGATGCAAAAACGAAGATACTTCCTTTGTGATGGAAAAAGGGGAATGTGGAAATATGCGTCCGATAGATTGAGAGTTATTGCCCAATCTTCTGGACGTACTAAATTGAAGACCTTGGAAATGGTATCCATCTTGAAATGTTTCTTTAGTAGGAATTGATTTAAAGGTTTTAAATTGATCACCGGTCTGGGCTTGTTGGACGACCTTTTTGGAATGAGGAAGAAGGTGCTGTAAAAACCTAAATGGATTTCCTCCACTGGAACTGATTTTACAGCGTCCTTTTCCAATAACGAAACAATTTCTGCGTTTAAAATATCTACATGGTTTTGCGCTATTATTGTTTGTCGAATACCCGTGTTCGGGGGTGGCGAGAGGAGCTCCAGCTTGTAACCCTCTCGTATCACGGACAACACCCATTGGTCGCCTGTTATTTTGACCCATTCTATGAAATATCTTAAACGACCCCTACAGGTATTTGACTCATCGACTGAATTATACTTACGTCATTTACGATGGTATTCTTGTTTTTTTTAGGGATCCGAAAACCCTGACTGGCTTTGGCTTCGCCCTTATCGTAACTTCTGTAAGGTCTAGGATTGGTCGATGACTTCGCCCAATTCTGATTATAGTAGGGTTCATTCCTAGGATAATGTTGATCCAGTCTTGGCTTTTTTAAGTCGTGTGACTTGTCAGGAAAAGTGTTAGATTTCCTCTTTAATTTTGATAAATTTGACTTTTATCAGCAAATTCTGGAAGCAAGTCCTTGATCTGCTCCTTCTGTGATTTTCTAACCAAAAACACCATCCGAAGTTAAGGGCAAGTATATCAGCTTTGATTGAAAATCCTTTATGTCTGTGAGACCAGTATCTGCCGCCGTAGCTTTACGTCTTATCATATGATGGAAGGCGCCAAATCACCCCATTTGGCCCATGGCTTTTGTTGATATTTCATACATATCTTTAATTGAGGCAATCGCTTGATCGTCGGGCATCTTGTCGTTGTAAAAATTGTTCATAAAGGTACCAAGAGCTTGTTGTAAATATGCAATTGAGATAATACCAAATTTAGATGCTACTTGACCTTGGTAAGCTATAAAGTCTCAATAGATTTGAACGGCTGAGAGTGAAGACGTCTTGTCGATCCCCATCCCTTGAAGCTCTTTGTCGCATGTTTACGCCTTAACATAGGCTCACAAATGTCATCTAAGCTAGGGACGTTCAAAAACTGCTCTGAAAGTTCATGAACCGGAAAGCAGCTGCGGTAAGACATCCGGATTTTGGCTTCTCCAAGATTTCGATAGGGTGTCAGACTGGAACTTGTCTAAAATTAGTCCAACTTTCTGCACATCGTCGTTCACTGAACTCCCAAATAGCTTGGACAAAACATCAGAACTTTGACACTCTACATTTTTATTTCATTGTGTTTTGTAAAGTGCTTGTTTCAGGCAAATATTTCACATACGAAGGCCTGTTGTTGTCAGCTGAAGACTTTAGTCTCTTTTGAGGGCTATGGGGCAAATCGACATCAGAATCCGGTCCTAAATTCGACTCCTGATCAGACAATGAGCCCAAAAATTCTGGATTGATCAACAACTTAGGGACTCCGGTGGAGTTTTTGGGTATCTGCGAGGCTAAATCCCCAATATCCTGATTTTCATCTCGAACAGATCTCCGGGGAGTTAAACAACCGGTATTCTGATGGGTTTGGGAAACTGTAAATAGTTGGATTAATTTATCAAATTTATCATCCACTTTCGCTTCCAAATTGTTAAGTCGATTGTTCACCTTGGTGGATGACATTCTCTTCGACTTAGAACGAGTTTTCTTCTTCGATTGCGAAACCGTAACAGACGGCGATTCGGAACAAACACTTACTTCCAAATCTGAATCTGCCGATAAATTAGATTTCTCATTATTCCCAGCGTTTGCCATAGCAAAGTATATGACAGAGAAATAAATCAATAAGTTACGAATCAAAATATCTAAAGAACAATGTAACATAAACAAAACGAGAGAGAGACGAAGCACGTGCACTGTTTTTCACACCGGAAGATGAACTAAGGTACAATACATATCAAGGGAAGGGGAGTAACCCATTAAATCTCTAGATGAGTTTGAGCGAGTTGATAGAGTTGTAGATTATCAAGATTATCCATAAGTATATTTCTGACTGGTAAGTATAACGAATGAAATGAAATTTTGGATGGAAAGATTTCAAAAAATCCGAATTTCTGTTTTTCGACTGAAATAGATAGAAGACATGTTCAACTTTCGTTTGCAACAAAAATTATACCTCTAGGTATGGCTTACATTTTGGTTTTGGGAAAAGTTTAAAACTAAAAATGCTGTAACAGGCAGAGTTTTCACGGTAGGGACATGAAATTCAAAACATAACAACTTCCAATTGGTGTGTACCTTCAGTACCATCTCTGATAGTCTTCGATCGGCAGCCTGTCAAAGTTTTGGTCTTAACCCCGACTAGTGCAACAAGACACTATAGGGCGGCTGCCGACCCCACCCCTGAACTAAAAAGACC